GGTTCAGTTCATTTAAGTATACAAACCTATTTGCATATTAGTCTCTTTTTAATCAGTGCTGCAAGTTAAAACATTTTAATTCCTGATTTTATTTCTGTTGACTCCAAATAATTATTTATAGATTTATGCATCTATGTATGTATTTTTGTCTAGTTTTTTAGAAGTTCTATGCTACATTTATAGTCTATTATTGTCTAGCCAGGACATTTTAAAAAATGATATTTACCTTAATAAACAGTTCATCAATTTCTTTACTTTTCCCAAGCAATTCTAGAAATTCAGAATGCCTTGTAAACACTATATTTTCCAACTCATATGCTATTCTTGTCTTTAGTTCTATTTTTTTAACCTCATAATTAGACAATTAGACAACTATGATTTTATACAGTCAAATTCTGTATGGATCACACTCAAATTTGTCATTTTCCATGCTCATTATTTCTATTTGAATCTCAGTCTTTTCATTTGGAAATGTTTTGTTCTTTTGAAGTTTATTCTTTAGCTGTCCCTCTGTAGTGAGTCAGTGGTAATAAAATCACTTAGTGGCAGTGTAAGACACTTTATAGGTCCTTTTATATAATTTCAGGTTTACAGGTAATTCTATTAGCACTAAAAGATAATACTATATTGTTTCCTAGATGTTGTTTATCCTATTGAGAGACCAGCCTACTTTTCATTTCTTCATATTTTTTTCATTTTTCTCTTTCAGCTCTTTTTATCTTGAAGTTCTATTATTTTGCTAGTTTGTCTATACCAGCACAATTCATATAAACTAAATCTTGGAAGCAGCCTATATGTCCAGCAACAGATGAATGGATAAAGAAACTGTGGTATTTGCACACAACTGAGTACTACTGTGCCATAAAGAAAGATAAACTTAAGTCATTTGTAAGAAAATGGATGCACCTTAAGACTATAATATTAAATGAAATAAAATAGACACACAAGCTTAAATATCATGTGATTTCTCTCACATGAGAGACCCCAATTATAAATAAAGAACAAAATAAAAGATAATAGAAAGTAGAGAGGCAGATCTTTTCCAAATGGGAAGGGGATCAAGATATGGAGGTAGAAGAGGAGAGGAAGAGGAGGGAAGGGGATGAAAAAAGGAATGAAGATGTGTTACATACATGCACCCACTCCACACAAGAAATGGAAATATTATGTACTGTAAACATGCATTAATAAAATTAAATTAAAATAAAATAAATGTATTACCCTTTCCACACTTTTCTACTCTCTCATTCTAGAATTCTAAACAGATATATGCTTTGCATTTCAACTCCATTTTATATGTCTCTTAGTCAATTCTTAATATTTCCTGTCTCTATTTTAC